ATTCATCAAAAGTTGGCGTTGTAAATCATCCGTTGCTCCGCGATCGCGATCTGCACCCTGTCATCACACACACCGTTAGAAAGCTCTCTCTCTCTTGTACAATGTTGTCGGATCCAAATATGGTCATTTCCTTTTTATCAGCAACCAATCGTGAAAGTAAAAGGGCGCAAATGCGCAATCTCATTGGCTGATGCTAAATCTTTAAAGCCCGTTTTCTCAAAATGACTGTTCTCTCATACTCAAAGTCCGAAATCTCCACTTCGGTAGCACCAATATACACCAAACTTTTCTTGTACCTAGTTATATTATGAAGACATTTACTGAGGGATTTGTAAATATATTATTCCTAGCCCGATTTATATAACATTTTATTTCAAAAAATATGGAAAAAAACTTTTTTTTAAGGCTATTGACAGAATATTCTGATTTATAGGATAACAAAAGTAGATATCCATAAATCCCTCTGTAATCTTTTTCCCATCTAATATGTGAACACAATGAAAAAAGAATTTTGAACCTGGCTTTATCCAATACTCAGATTTCATTTTTTGAAATATATGTAAATTAGCACATATTTAAGTAGATAATGCCTAATTTGCATATTTTTAACATTAAATTACAGAAAACTTGTAATATATTTTTTTCTCATCTTAATGTAGGTAATCAACTGGGAAAGTTTCATGGTGATATCCAATAGTATCCAGCTGCAGACCCGCAGCACCACCAGTTTCAGAACCCCAGCGCCAGAACCGGAAGAAAGGGACGGAGCTTACGTTCTAACACCAGCGCCAGGACCGGAAGTGAGGGGCGGAGCTTACGTTCTAAACGAGTAACGCCACCTAACGTTTTGGAGCGTAATTTGCTTAGACACGAAACGGCATTATTACTTATACGTATTATAATGATACATTAAGGTATAGTACAATAAGCATTTTAAAACATTGATTTTGTGTAATATAATTCTATATAGTTATCCGTTTCATTGTATTATGAGAGTTACTTCCTGATCATGATGGTGAAAAATAATGCTTGAAACTTATGGCCATTTTATATAAAATATACTTTATTTCACAAGAACATGTGCAGCATGCATTTTCCTTTATGTAAAATAATGTCAAAAATCTAAAAAGAGAGAGAAAATCCGGCATTGTTTTAAAATAAACAATAAAAATGTACCGTACTTCAAATAATAGCCGAGTCCCAAATAGACGATTGTCTCTTTACACGCCTGGTGTGGCTGCAGGTCTGGGTAAATATGAGGCCGGTCTCAAATAGAGGTCGGGTCTGTTTTTTAGTTTCAGGTTGTATTAAATCTTCTAAAACCCGTCAGATCGTCCGCTTTTTGGCGGCCGCCAAAGCAAATTTTTGTCCCGCCAAAGCCTATTTTGACCGGTGAGTGATGTAGAATAGAATGACTGCTGCGCATGACAGGGCAGAGCAGAGAGAGAGAGCCCTGGCCGCGCGCGCGCACTCTCACGTCTTCAAACAACACGAGCGCTGTCTTGCTCTTTATTTGTCACATACCAGTTATAGTTCATACAACGAGCAGTGACTCACTGTGTAATAAAAACATACCCTAAATATTATTTAAAAGGTGCAACAATTTTAAATATTTTTAAATACTTGCAAAAATAACCATGCTTGTGTCATTGTAAATAATTCCGCCCCTCCCTCACTTCCGGTTCTGGCGCTGGGGTTCTGGCACTGGGGTTCTGAAACTGGTGGTGCTGCGGGTCTGCAGCTGGATATATCTCGTGATATCTGCTAGTTAAAAAAATTACCCTATTCACCTGTAGTGTCTCGCCTTAATGCAATTATCTAATCAACCAATCACATGGCAGTTGCTTCAATGCATTTAGGGGTGTGGTCCTGGTCAAGACTGAACTCCAAACTGAATGTCAGAATGGGAAAGAAAGGGGATTTAAGCCATTTTGAGCGTGGCATGGTTGTTGGTGTCAGACGGGCCGGTCTGAGTATTTCACAATCTGCTCAGTTACTGGGATTTTCACGCACAACCATTTCTAGGGTTTACAAAGAATGGTGTGAAAAGGGAAAAACATCCAGTATGCGGCAGTCCTGTGGGCGAAAATTATGCTAGAGGTCAAAGGAGAATGGCCCGACTGATTCAAGCTGATAGAAGAGCAACTGTGACTGAAATAACCACTCGTTACAACCGAGGTATGCAGCAAAGCATTTGTGAAGCCACAACACGCACAACCTTGAGGCGGATGGGCTACAACAGCAGAAGACCCCACCGGGTACCACTCATCTCCACTACAAATAGGAAAAAGAGGCTACAGTTTGCAAGAGCTCACCAAAATTGGACAGTTGAAGACTGGAAAAATGTTGCCTGGTCTGATGAGTCTCGATTTCTGTTGAGACATTCAGATGGTAGAGTCAGAATTTGGCGTAAACAGAATGAGAACATGGATCCATCATGCCTTGTTACCACTGTGCAGGCTGGTGGTGGTGGTGTAATGGTGTGGGGGATGTTTTCTTGGCACACTTTAGGCCCCTTAGTGCCAATTGGGCATCGTTTAAATGCCACGGCCTACCTGAGCATTGTTTCTGACCATGTCCATCCCTTTATGGCCACCATGTACCCATCCTCTGATGGCTACTTCCAGCAGGATAATGCACCATGTCACAAAGCTTCAAATTGGTTTCTTGAACATGATAATGAGTTCACTGTACAAATGGCCCCCAGTCACCAGATCTCAACCCAATAGAGCATCTTTGGGATGTGGTGGAACGGGAGCTTCGTGCCCTGGATGTGCATCCCACAAATCTCCATCAACTGCAAGATGCTATCCTATCAATATGGGCCAACATTTCTAAAGAATGCTTTCAGCACCTTGTTGAATCAATGCCACGTAGAATTAAGGCAGTTCTGAAGGCGAAAGGGGATCAAACACAGTATTAGTATGGTGTTCCTAATAATCCTTTAGGTGAGTGTATATATATATATATATATATATATATATATATAAATATATACCCCCTTTCACCTTCAGAACTGCCTTAATTCTACGTGGCAATGATTCAACAAGGTGCTGAAAGCATTCTTTAGAAATGTTGGCCCATATTGATAGAATAGCATCTTGCAGTTGATGGAGATTTGTGGGATGCACATCCAGGGCACGAAGCTCCCGTTCCACCACATCCCAAAGATGCTCTATTGGGTTGAGATCTGGTGACTGTGGGGGCCATTTTAGTACAGTGAACTCATTGTCATGTTCAAGAAACCAATTTGAAGCTTTGTGACATGGTGCATTATCCTGCTGGAAGTAGCCATCAGAGGATGGGTACATGGTGGCCATAAAGGGATGGACATGGTCAGAAACAATGCTCAGGTAGGCCGTGGCATTTAAACGATGCCCAATTGGCACTAAGGGGCCTAAAGTGTGCCAAGAAAACATCCCCCACACCATTACACCACCACCACCAGCCTGCACAGTGGTAACAAGGCATGATGGATCCATGTTCTCATTCTGTTTACGCCAAATTCTGACTCTACCATCTGAATGTCTCAACAGAAATCGAGACTCATCAGACCAGGCAACATTTTTCCAGTCTTCAACTGTCCAATTTTGGTGAGCTCTTGCAAATTGTAGCCTCTTTTTCCTATTTGTAGTGGATATGAGTGGTACCCGGTGGGGTCTTCTGCTGTTGTAGCCCATCCGCCTCAAGGTTGTGCGTGTTGTGGCTTCACAAATGCTTTGCTGCATACCTCGGTTGTAACGAGGGGTTATTTTAGTCAAAGTTGCTCTTCTATCAGCTTGAATCAGTCGGCCAATTCTCCTCTGACCTCTAGCACCAACAAGGCATTTTCGCCCACAGGACTGCCGCATACTGGATGTTTTTCCCTTTTCACACCATTCTTTGTAAACCCTAGAAATGGTTGTGCGTGAAAATCCCAGTAACTGAGCAGATTATGAAATACTCAGACCGGCCCGTCTGGCACCAACAACCATGCCACGCTCAAAATAGCTTAGATCACCTTTCTTTCCCATTCTGACATTCAGTTTGGAGTTCAGGAGATTGCCTTGACCAGGACCACACCCCTAAATGCATTGAAGCAACTGCCATGTGATTGGTTGATTAGATAATTGTGTTAATGAGAAATTGAACAGGTGGTACTAATAATCCTTTAGGTGAGTGTATATATGTGTGTGTAAAATTCTGTTTTAAGAGAATAGCATATATAGCCATGCTTCTTTCTTATTTTTTATACATTTGTTTTTAAGCTTAAAGGTGTAGTTAACCCAAAAAATTTAATTCTGTCATCATTTACTGCATGCCATTCTATTCCTAACTATACATTCTTCCAGGAAACACAAAACAGGAAATGTTCTATGTTCAAAAAAAGATGCAATAGCAACATAAAAATAGTTCGGACTCGTGTGCTATATTTAAAATGTTGTCATACGATAGTTTTGTATAAGGAACTGACCCATAATCATTAGCTCTCTTTGGTAGTTTCATAAGAGTTGATCAGAGATGCAGTGATGTTCGAATCTTAAGCGATATGTTCTTTTGAGTCAGATCTTTTCAAGGAATCCATTTCACAAAACCCTTTAGAATGATTAGTGCATGAGTCTAACGGATCTCTGCTTCTCAAGCTCCTTACGCAAAGCTATGGCAAAATCTATAAGACTTGTAAAACAGTACATCCGTGCATCTTTTTGAAGCTTAAAAGTCTCCCTGAGGACTAAACACATTACAATGTTCCACAGAACAAGTAAAGCTTTTGCATTTATGCATTTTGCAGACGCTTTTATCCAAATCAACTCACTTTGCATTCAAGGTACACATTTACATTCTTATCAGTTCTTGCTTTCCCTGGGAATTGAACCCATGACAATGGCGTTGCAAGCGCCATACTGTTTGAGCTACAGGAAAGCTAGCCAACAATCTAATAACATTAAGGTGAGAAAATGTTCATATTTTAGTTGAACTACTCTTTTGAGCTGAAGTCAGAATTTGTATTTGACTCGCACCTCTCCAGTGGGTTGATTTCCACATTCATGGAAAGTGTTTGTGATTGAGGATAAACACAGCTGAAAGAAAGCTTCAGGATTTTCTCACTGCTGATGAGACCTTCTGACCTCGGTGTCCCCAGAATAAAGTTTTCATAGATGAAGTGGGTGCCGTTAGCCTGTGGACAACAAATATAACAGTTTGTAATTTAGCCTAAAATGGATATTAAAGTAACATTAGAAATAACAAAAGACAAAAAGTGGCATCAGTCAAGTGAAATAATGGTGGGTTACATAATAATGGCAGAGAATGTGGGGAAAAGTTACAATCTCTTTTGTGGCATGGTGTCGGGCACCTTTCACCACTGAGTCTTTAAGAAGAACTGAGAAGTCTTTAGGGAGGTCTGTTTTGGGACCTTCCCTTGGTTGTTACAGATTGATTATTCAGTTCCCTTACAAGCCTCCCTACATACTTCTCAAAGTCTCATAGTGATCAAACTCTGTTCTATCAGGCAATACAAATAGTTGAATGATGTATTTGAATAGATTATACACAGTTAAACCCACCAGAAGATTAGTACCACAGATGTGTTCATCATTATCAAAATGGAATTCCACTCGGCCATTCCGGACCGTTCCTTTGCAGCTGGGATCATTGAGGTGTAAGACATCAGCTGGAAAACCAGCCTCAAAGAGCTGACAGCGAGACACAGATATAGAGCCAGAGCTGCTTTCACAGGTTTCTGAGAAATCTGAGTACCCAAAAAAAGATAATTAATTACTGAAAAAAAAAACCTGTAGGCTATATTTCACATTTAGTTGTGGAATGAAAACAACCAAAAGAGCCAGATTGTGGTGTATGATTGTCCTCTTGACATAAACAGCCATAAACACCATTTTTCTTCCCACACCATTCATCCTCAGAGCAGCTGAGTTCAGAACAGCGATCTCTCACATCTAAGAGGAAAAGAACAGATAGATGAAATACAACACAAAGACATTGAGTTATATGTTAATGTAGCATCTGAGTAAATGATTAAAAGTAGGACTTCACAACAAAAGAATCTTTTCTTTTTCACTTCACCTCTGCTCTAGCTTGTTTCCTAACCTAATAAACCTGGCATTGTACACTGAATATTGTTGGGTCTGTTACAAACCGTTTATGTACATTACCAAAGCCAATGATACATTTTTATTGATTATTGCTCTTGGTATTTGTAATGAAGCAGCGGAAGAGGAGAGATCCATTTGCAGGCTTTATTAAATAACAGGGTCAGACAGGCAAGGGTCAAATACCAGCGATATAAGCAGAGCAGGATACACACAATCAGGGTGTATTCACACCTGCCTTGTTTGGTTCGATTGAATCGAACTCTAGTTCGTTTCCCCCCTTGGTGCGGACCTTTGGGGCAGGTGTGAATACAGCAATCGAACTCGGGTGCGGACCAAACAACCGAACCGAGACCCAGCTGAAGAGGTGGTCTCGGTACGGTTACAAACAAACTCTGGTAAGGTTCGTTTACGGTGTGAACATGAACCGACCCAATTGCAAGAAAGCACTGCGCCTTTGAGTTAACAGGCTTCCGTAGTCGGAGTTGCGTTATGGGAAAGTGATCTGTTGTAGCCTACTACATTACATCTGTTGCGCGTCTTTCTGCGCGTCGTGTGTGTGCATCATTGGAATGGAATGAATGAGTGTGTGCATCAGGACACTCACATATTGAGCGTTCTCTTTAGTCTAATCGCGCATAGATGCATAGATGCATATAATGTAACGATAGTTACAATACAAGGAGGATGCTGCGTTAATTTACGTTAAGCCTTTTTTGCACTTCCTGATTTCCCTACTTGAGAATCCTTCTCCAATGAATGGACGACCTTGTCACACGTGTGGTTTTGTTTACAAATTTTGCTTCACTTGCAAAAAGAGCAGTGTAAAAGTGAATCGTACCAAAAAAAAATATATATATTATTTGGTCTGGACCAAAGCAAGTGAACTATCGGACTTTCCTTGTGTGAATACACCCCGAGTCCAAGAACAGGCAAAGGGTCGGGGCAGGCGGCGAAACAATCAGAGTACAGAGTCCAAGCAGAGAGTAAGGCAGACAGGCAGCAGACAACGAGAGGTAAGGTCAAGGGCGTAGGTTTAGGGGGGGGGGGGGGGGGGGACGCTAGGTACTAGTCCCAATCAATATTTTGAGATGACAAATTTGTCCCCACCAATATTTAGCAAGCTCCTTTGAACAGCTATTTTGATATTTGCGCTGTATTTGGATCTTTGCGCTGCTATTTGGATCGATTCCAACGGCCAGGACGACGACAGTACAAGATACGCCGTAATTTGATTGGCGGCGGGGTATCTGACAGGCAGGCTACACGCGCGGGCCGGGACTACTTTTTGTGCTTGCACTCACTGGCAGCGAGCGGGTGGTGTGTGCGTGACGACGCCGACGGTAAGTTACCAGGGCATAGCTGTCAACCCTCCCGTTTTTTCCGGGTTTCTCACGTATTTTAGCTCTTTTCCCGCTGTCTTCCCGTTTTATTATTTTCCCGTAAAATATCCCGTATTTTTACGCTCTGATTGTGTGAGACGTACATGCTCGGGCAGATTCGGCTTGAAGTCGTTCATCCTCGGATGCGGCGCCGCGCGCGCTGTTACAAAAAAAGCTGTGCACACAGCCAAGCGAAATGGGGTCTTGCCGGTGTTCTGACGATTCATGCTACCCATCGAGATTTGCTACTTACTGGTTATGCGCATGTGCAGACTCAGTTTTTTTTTAACAAAAGGTACATTTTCATGTGTTATAAAGTAATTTCCCTTTTAAAAATGCCAACTACCATATGAATATTTGTACGGTCAGTCAGCTGAACAAGAATAACTGAAAGTTTCAGTTACTAAGAAAAGGTGTGCTTTAACAAGTCAAAGATTAATATTTGATGATACTTTTTACTTTTCACACCGTTTTAAAAATAAAAACAGTAGTCCACAGTATACAGTAGCTACTCATAACTTAGAACTGTGTTATAATTGTATTTCCTTTAATATTAATCGACATTCTGTGATCGATTCGCGATTCGAAGGCAGCACAAATCGTCAGAACACCGGTCTTGCGCACCCAACGCGTAATCTTTGCCGCGCTCGTGCGGACGCGTCAAGTATAAACAATTATACTCCGTCTCAGCGCGCGCTTTGATCGGTAAAGGAGCACAGACCTCTCCCTAATCATCTCCAGCAGCCCCCGAAGCACCACGTACCGTTTCCCTCGTAAGCTGATATTAGTATTTAAACATTCTCTGATAAAAAATGTTTAAAAAATGACACACTTTCTCTAATACACACACACACTGTCTCTTTCTCTCTCACTCATTTGTAGTTATAAACTCTTTAGACTTTTAATGATAAGTGCTTTATTTTTAAAGTTTGTGGTGGGTAAGAATCGTGTAAAAAAATTCCCTTATTTTGGGGATGGATTCCGGGAAATCTCCATTCAATGTTCAATGTTGACAGCTATGTACCAGGGCTGTCTCTCTGCCTGCAATATACAAAGGAGGCCAGAGTAAAACATTTTAATATTCCGTTTTTTTTGCCCCTTTTTGTACTTTGTAGATCAGCTATGTCACCCAAGAAGAAGAAAGAGGACATACAAAGCTTTTTCATAGTGGTAGGCAAAAATAACTAGCCACACAAATAACTAGCAGTAGTAGTGACTGACCAGGCTTTCAAATGCAGATTCTACTGTGGAAAATAGTATTAACTGGTGATCCTGGTTACCCAGGATATTGTTACAGTTAAACCTAGCTTCTGCAATCTGTCAAGGTTAGGAGCATTAATTAGGGGTGTGCAGCATGGATAGACTCATAGAAGTCGCGCTATCATGATAGAATGCTACGTTAGCAAGTCACTGAATGTTAATTAGCCTACCTTAACTTTAATCTTGCAGTCATAAACAGTGGATCATCTGAGACATTTTTCGTTTCTACATTCTGTTTATGTAATCTATTTGTAGTGTAGCCTACTTGCTAGACACATGTGCTGGAAAAACATGTTGGCAATGTTAAAAAGGCAAAAGTTAACACTGTTGGTTATTCAAATATAATGAATCATTATTTGATTGATAATATCCAAATTCCAAATAATAATAATTTATGTTAAATAAAATGTTTGGTTGTTCAGCATTACACAGTCTCAGGTGTTTATTTTTTGAGAGTGCATTTTTGAGATTATACAGTTATACTAGCTCTTTCTTGACAGTATACAGGATGGTGTATCGGGGTTAGGATACAATATAATGAGATTAAGTAGATTCACTTCTGTATTGCCAGCATTCTGAAATGACAAAGGAAATCGCCATTAAAGCAATGTTACTTATCTCACAACAAAATAATTCCCGGGGTTGGGGGTGTGTCCCCGTCCCCGTCCCCGTCCCCGTCCCCGTCCCCGTCCCCGTCCCCGTCCCCGTCCCCGTCCCCGTCCCCGTCCCCGTCCCCACCAAAGCTGAGACCAAACCTACGCCCATGGGTAAGGTCCAGATAAAGTCGTAACATGTAAACAAACACAGGGTACAAACGCTCAGAATAGTTCACTGGGAAAGCAATACTTCGCGCTGAGTGAATGTGAAAACCAGGTGTTTATGGTGTGAGAGAAACAAGGTGATAAGACACAGGTGAATGAAATGAGTGCTGATGAATCCGGGCAGTGAATTATGGGAAATGTAGGCTAGTTTGTGAGAAAGTGATCATAGTCTATTGTGGAGCGCCCTCTGCTGGCTCTCGAGGGCACTCCAGCTGGTGATCGTTACAGTCTTGAGGTAATATTTCTTTTTTCTAGTGTTTATTTTTTTCTTGTGTCTGAAAAAAAAAATAGTACAAAAAATATATACATATCTTACACAAAGGGCATATGTATTCATCCAAACTCATTAAATCATCAAAATCAACATGTATGTTAGACCCTATACCGACTAAGCTACAGAAAGAGATGCTTCCAGAGGTCACAGATCCTCTTCTCGATATCATTAACTCATCTTTGTCATTAGGATACGAACCGAAAACCTGCTGGCTATTATTAAACCTCTTATTTAAAAAAAACACAAATTGATCATCCTAGAGAATTAGTGAATTACAGGCTGATCTCGAATCTACCTTTTCTGTCAAAAATACTAGAAAAGGCAGAATTCTCACAACTACCAAGAATTGGTATCTTCGGGGATTTTAGGATTTAGACCGTATCATATCAATCGTGGTTGTTACGTGTGTGTGTGTGTGTGTGTGTGTGTGTCTGCCCAGGTGTACTGCTGTTTGTCTGTCTTCTGCAGGTCCTGTGGGCACACCTGTCTCCAATTGGCAATCAGCTAGTGTGCACACCTGTTGGCAATCAGCAGGAGAGCGGGAGCTGTTACAAAGGGAAGAGAACAGGCAGACTGATACAGGAGTGTGTGGAGAACAGACGTCTCTATACAGACAGCGTACCGGAGCTGGGTGATACTGCAGTGGCGTTAGTGGAGTCCGTGCAGTAGTGTGTAACAAGTCTGACCCTCGTGCTGGGGTTTACTCTCTCGGTGGAGAGAGGGTGGTAAATACTAGTGTTTGTAGTTGTTTTTTGTTGTACCTTTTTGATACTTACCTTTTTGTATCTGTTGTACCTTTTGGTTATTTAATGTTGTAAATAAACGCCATACTTGTTGATAAATCGGTATCCTTTGTTCCTTCAACCCGAAATGGTTTTATTATTGTTGCCAACCTCCTCCCTCCCTGGACGTTCCACTGGAGGTTCGTAACAATTTGGGGGCTCGTCCGGGATCTGTTTTCCCAAACATTTCGGGTTGTATGGGAGAAAGTGGTAAGCAATTATCATTTCTATTGGTGTTAAAATTGTTTCGTGTGGGTTTTCGCTGTCTAGTCTTTCCAGAGAAAATCTTTCCCCAGCTAGTTAGAAGTGTCTAGCTAGGCTGTTCTGC